TATATATATGATAGTTTTATTATTATTACAAATACTATTATTTTTACTACTATTACATCTCATGTGTTCAAAATAGAAAGTAGATATTTAAATGTGAGATTAGAATTCATTTCAATAAGTAGTGTTCAATTACTTTAAAGCAGGGAATATTTTTGTGATGTTAATGATATTAAATATTGTTGTGCAGTGCACATCTATCCTATCAATAAATCAATAAATATTCAAAGATGAAGGATAACGCTGTAAATCAAAACAATGTTAATTATTTTATAGTCATATTTTTATTAGCTAACTCTAGTGAAAATCTTTGCAAGTCTATAAAGAAAAAGGGCAATGGAACTTTTTGTCTTAAGATCTTCCACTTTTATTTTTGTAAAATAAAGTATCAATTTTTTTTTTTTTGTCTTCAAACTATACCACTTTTTCATGGATTCTACCACACCTCAACAAAAACTGCTGGCAGGGTAGTCTTTGAATCAAGGGAATATACAATATTACATTCCCTATTACAAATACACAAACATATGTACAAACACAACCCTGTTCACAAGACCGAATTCTTGTTTTAGTATCCGAAAAGGTCTTGCAGCTCTAATTGGCCATTTTATTGAGAGTACTGAATAATATATAGCACATTGTAACTACACAGTTTAGATTAGTGTGCAGAGGGCAAGCCACATCTGCAGATATAGAGAGGTCTAGATTCTAACACCTAGCTTGGCCTTTCTTAACCATGGTTCTGTGGAGCCCTAGGGTTCCTCCAGGAGTTGCTAGAGGTGAGCAGTGGTGAAATCATCACCGGCCTAAAGGTGCCTCTATATTTCTAGCACCAACTCCACTCAGCAAAGTCGGCGGCATGAAACTATTGCAGTTTCTTCTCTCGCTTCTCAGTTCAGTTAACGCTGACCAAGTTAGCTGTCTGTAAAGGAGCATTATACCAAATGACCACCAATATGTAGGGGCACGAGACCAACCACCATAGTAATGGGTAATTTTTCTCACCTAACACCCCTGTAACATGTCATTCTTTCCGCTGACAACAAGTGTAGGGGGATCTTAGTCTAGTTGGCCACCAATATGCGTTGTGGCTTTTGCCACCATGTGGTATGGCGTATGCAGAATGAGCTGCAGATATAATCATTTTTAGCAGGGGATCTTTGAGACCTGAACATTATTTCAAGGCTTCCTCAGTGATAATAAGGTTGATAAAGCAGATCTACTGATTTATTTATTATATAATGAATACATCTATGGGAGTGGAGCCATACTGGATAATTATTTTATTATTATTATTATTCCTGAGTTTTCCAGGAGCAGAGCAGATTTGAGAGTTCCTGATGCAATGCCGTTTTTTTTTACCTTTGAGCAAAATAAAACAAAAAAACTAAAAATGCTAGCTTCCCTTGTAATTACTTGGCTACAAAATCATAAATGTAAAGGGTGTTTTCTGCATTGATTAAATGTTCTACAACACTGAGATTCTAGCTTTATAGGTAACAACGTTTCTCCGTTGTATTGTCAGGATTTTTAAGTTAGCGTCTTGTTCATTGTTTAACGTGACTACTAGTAGTAATATGATTATGTGGTCTTACTATGCATACACAGACTATTTAGCAATAATTAATTACTATGTATTATTATCTTGTGATATAGCATATCAGTTTAAAGACGTTGTAATCTACTAAAGACACTAGGAAGGTAAAGTTTTAGGATTACTTATTCTTGATATTAGTGATATGGCATTAGAGTCCTGATTTCAAAATCAAAACATCTTCAGACTTTTTATGTTTGCCTCTTTGTTTTTTGGTGTTGTCACAAAACTATTTATAGGTAATGTATGTATCATTGTCTCTGCTTTTGAAAGACCCTAAAGTTTGAAGTGGTGGCCAACAATAGTTTTGTAAACAAAGTAAACTTAAAGAAAGGAAAAGGGTTTGGATGAATTGTTTAGAGTACCAGCAATACAATCTAATTAAGAAGTCTCTAGTGAATGGTTGGCACTCTGTATACTATGCCGAAACAAAAGTTTGCACCATTCATTGTATACATTGTGCTGTACTATATTAATGGACAAATAGTACTAATAGAATTATGAGCACATTTTCAAAATACAAAGATAGCTATACAGGACCTTAGTTGCCAAAAACAATTTTCACACTAGGTCCTAATGCAACTTTAAAAATGGATGAAGCTGATAGCTATTTGGGGGGTTCTTTTCTTGCATGAACCCAGATGCTGGAACAAGTCCAGAACCAGCTTAATTTTGGGTAAACAATATTGATGGTATGC